GCCTCCTGAGGAGCAGGGAAGCCCCCGCGCACACCCGCTCCCCCCGCTGAGAAGGGAAGTCCCAGCACACACCTCTGGGGATTCCCCCGGTAAGCTCCTGGCTGGGGCAAGGAAGCAGCCAGCACATTTCTGGAACCCCAGCAGGAAGCCACCACTACCTCCTGAGGAGCAGGGAAGCCCCCGCGCACACCCGCTCCCCCCCCAGAGAAGGGAAGTCCCAGCACACACCTCTGGGGATTCCCCCGGTAAGCTCCTGGCTGGGGCAAGGAAGCAGCCAGCACATTTCTGGAACCCCAGCAGGAAGCCACCACTACCTCCATTGTCGCTGGAGGTAGGTAGTGGGGCTTCTTGGGGGTAGAGGAAATGGGGGGACCGGTGGAACCACACTGGAGATCTCCCTCCAATCTGACATTCCATTCTTTCCTCTTGCATCTCTCGGCATCTGCCTATTGCCCAGCCTGGCTAGTTGAGTTAGGTTCTGGGCTAAGACCAGCATTCTCCCCTCCCCCAGAATGTATGAGAAGAGCGGGAATGTTTATGTGGTTTATTTTAATCTATGCATAATAAAAAACAAAAAAAATCCCAAAACCCATATTGGTGAGAGAGCTTCCAAAAAGTTCTTTACAGGTCTTATGAGACCTTATTTATCATCAGTGCTTTCACGGGCTGGCAGTAGGCTGTGTCTGTATAATCTATAGTATCTTTCAAAAGATGGTTTCAAAGAACACAACCTAATTGCTGATTGGGTAATATTAAGTGTAGGAACCAAAGGACTCTGTGGACACAAAGATACTTAGGCTCAGCTTGGCAATATCTTAACTTTTAGGTGCTCTTACCTTGCCATCATCCTAGTGCAGAGGTTCTCAAAGTGCAGTCTGTGCCTCCCAGGTGGTCGAACACAGCCCCTCCTTTCCCCACTCAGCTCAGGCATGTGAGGTTTGGGGAGGCAGAGGCACAGCATGGCATAGGGACTGGGGCAGCCCTGAAAGCAGAGTGGGCAGCATGACCCTGCGCTGGCCTCTGCATCCCTGGGGCTGCCCCTGCCCAGCGTAGGCATGCAGCTCCAAAGAGCTAACAGGTTAATACCCCTCCCATACAGGCTCTTGCCCGTGCTACGGAAGGGGCTCGGGCTGTTCCATAGAACTGAAGCGAGGCTGGGCGGCTAGTCACAAGCTGATGCCGCCTCCGTGGGGGGCATGCAGGGGTGGGGAGCCCTTTCCCCAGTGCCCTGCTGCACCCAG